TATCCATTTATTTCGGGTTTTTGTCCATTTACTTTAAGTGAGTGGATCGGGTTAGTGGATATTCACCTAATATTTCCATCCCTAAGCAAATTAAATTCACATTAAAGTTCGGATTATTAAAAAAAAAATCCAAGGTTGAGATTATATTTGACGAATGAGACAAAGTTGAGATTATTTTAGGCAATTTTTTCTTTTTTATTTTTAGTAAGTTTTTTAATAATTAAATAATTATTTCAATAATTTAAAAAATAGCCAATGAGAGGCTCTTATGTGGCGTAATTAACCTTAATGACTAAAGGAGCCGTAACAGAGCCGTTAGTTATTAAGGGCATTTGGTAACATTTTCAGAAAACTTATGGGCATATGATGAATTTGAAAAAATTTATGGATATTTGGTGAATAAAAAAATTACTTAAGGGTATATGGTAACTAATTCTAAAAAAAATAATTTTTAAATATTTTTTTAATAATATAATATATATAAATAAAGTAGGCATTTTTGGAGAGCACTGGGAGCGCCACATAAGAAAAAATATATTTTTGACCAATTAAAAATTAGATTTCTATTTTATTTTAGAATTAAAAAAATCACTCGCCACCTAAACAAAAGTGACAAATAAAATTTTAAATTTTTGCCACGTAGGTAAAAACGACGAATAGTAATTTATTAGGATTTTAATTATTTAAGAACACTAAATTTTATCATTTTTATTTGTTATAAAACTAACAATTATCTTTAGATATTAGGATTTATAATATTTTAAAAAACTAAAAATTATATTTTGATATTTAAAAACTATAAATTATTATTTGATGTTAATGGTTTTATGTAAATAATTTTTAAATTTTAACACTAAACTTATCTTTTGTTGTTTTATTTATTTTATGTGACGCACTGACGCTTGAATTTAAAATCCCAAACCTTATTCACTAATTTTGCTAATGTGACAATTTAAATTTTTAATTCAAAAAAGAAATTGACAATTTAATGTACTCGTTCTGTTTAAAATGTTAGTCTCATGTATAATCGTTTAACTACAAAATATTATGGGAAATTAGTCATATGAGATTTATCCATTTAAGAAAAAAATAACAAATGAAATTTGAGAATTGAAAACAAAAAATAGTAATTTAATATTGAAATTATGAAAAAAAAACAAAAATTATCTTTTATATTATCTTTTACATTAGGATTTATATTATTTTAACAAATAATCAGCAATTAAAAAAATATTTTGATTTAATGATGTAACACCCCAATAATTCTTGCTTTTTAAACCACTTACTTTAAATAAAAATAGAGGAGAACCATTGGCATGTTACCGCCACGTGTTAAAACGTTAAGGCTTTATCAAAGTATTGCAGCGGAAATCCAACTTAAATCTTAAAATAATATAATTTAGAAAACCAATAAGTCAAAGCTTACAAATTGGAACCATAAAGACCCTTATTTAAAAACCAATAATCAAAATCCCAAAACATAACTAGAATAGTAAAACATAAATAAGTTTAACACAAAGAACGAATACTCTCAATCACACCAATCCCTTGACAATGCGTATGTCAAATCCCCGAACTTCACATCATCAAGCTAACCTGTGCAATACTGCTCCCCAATAATACAAGTGTAATTATTGGATCATCACAGGGTCATTGAAAGGCGAAGGCCATGACAAAAAAATACACACAATAGCACGCAATCAGCAAAGCTGAGTACATACAAGCTACAATGCACAAAATCTAGCATGCTCAACTAGTTTAAGTAAATAAACATACAACACGAATTCATTAATCAAGACTCCACACTTAAACAATTCAATTGACTCAACATACTTTCTAATCAATTCCAAACACTTGACTCTTTATATTTAATTTAATTAATTTAGTTTGGAGTAAGCAATAGACGAGGTTGTCCAATCCACCAAATCATTTTGGTCCCAAATGACCATTTAAAATAAAAGATTAGTGCGATGCAAGAATGGGCGCGACTCCATTCTCACAAAGTTAGTCTAGGATCCCATCTAACTTTCATTATAAAATAAAATGTAAATACCAAAAGAAAAGAGGACATGTTGATCAAACAAGCCTCGGAAAGCCACGGGCTACCACCGTGTACCCCAACCCATAATTGTCAATACTCTAGAAGTGTACGCTTTCCAGAGTTTTATTACTCATCCATGTTTCACTTTACGTGATTACAATTTTAATTAATAGCCGACTCAATCAAATAGACCATACATAAAAATCATACATCAATTTACTTTTAATCTTATTTAGGACAATGGTGATCACATCCCAAATTGACCTTTAATTCCATTAAACTTCCAAATTATTCAAAATTGTTGAACATAGTCAACCCACCTAGCCATTTCGGCTTAATCCACCTTGAATCAACATACTAACAATTCATGATTGAGTAATAAAATAAATAAGTAATAACCTTGTGGAATAATTAATAAATTCATTCCACTTAAACCATTCAATTCCAATCCTTTAATAATCCAAATGTGGTTAACAAACCAATCCAATAAAATATGTTTGTATCAACATTCCATACAAACAATTAATCCAATATAACTCAACATGTTTGCATCCATAATTCCATACAAACATAATCAATTCACCAAAACATGTTTCATAAACATAAGCAAATGAATTAATTAAATGTATAACCAAACAATTTTCATCCAAGTGTTCTCTAATCATGAAACTAAGTTCTTTTCTTTGGTACCTAAACATGATACTACTTACAACGAAGTAGACATGTACGTACCTCGTGTAAACAATTCGGTTTGCCACTTAAAAACTAGAAATCACCTTCAATAAACTCCTCTCCTAAACCAAACAATAACATCTCAATCAATACCCAATCAATCAAATTTACAGCAACACTAACTTACTTTAAAACCTTCAAAATCCAAATCAAACAACACTTTAAAACCCTCCCTTTAGTTAAAATTAAAGGCTTATATATAGTTCTTTAAATTTTCTTCATAAAAACCTTAAAATACATCACTATACATGAAATTACAGCAAGTTTAAAGTTTAATAAAAATCTTAAAATTATTTAAAAACCTCTAATAATCTCCCTTTTTAATGGGTGATTAAACCCTCTTTAAAAAACATCAAAAGTAGTACTTAGAAACTATTTCCAACACTTAAAAATTCAATACAAACATATATTTATGCTTAATTAACTTTAAACATAATTAATTTTATTAATCAAACTCAAGGATATTAAGTATAAAAAAACTTTGTTAAAATCAAAAACTGCTCGAAAATCATATTTAGAGGCTGAATTTGGCCACGATAGGGTAGTGAGTCTCTCTTAAAACGTTGTTTCCACATGGAAAACACTACTTTTTAGAGGCTGAAAAAAGGTAGTGAGTCTTTCTTAAAACGTTGTTTCCACATGGGAAACACTACTTTTTTGTCAAAATCGGATAAGTTCAGAACCTGATCGGGATTAATATTAATGAACGGAAATCTAAAAATTAAAACATGAATTTAAGTGTTCAAAACAATCTGGAATTAAGTAAAACTAATTAGTAGTATAATCACCAAAATTTCAAAACATCATTACTATAAAAGCCCTAAATCAATTGTTCATAAAAACCCTAAAATCATGATTTTCAATAATTAAAAACCCTAGGTTATAAAATTTACAAAATCTGAAAATTATGACACTTATAAAATCTGAAATTATAAAGTTTAATAATCAAAATACAATTTGATACTAATTAAATTAATTTCAAACAATAAAATCAAAACCCATAATCAATAATTATAATTACACAAATTAATAAAACAAAGGAGAAAGAAAATAAGACTAACCTTTTGTGTGGAAATTTTTTTTTGGGGATTCATGGGGTATTTATAGGAGAGAATTGTAGGGTAAATAAGAAGATTGGGCCTCGTAAAAATAATGGGTCAATTACAAATAGGTTAGGCTTGTGTGATTGGACATAAATTGTAGAATAAAGGTGCATAAAATAATTTGTTCAAATAAATTTCGACTCAAATTAATAATTTGAAACTTTTGAAATTAAATTATGAAAAATAACAAATAAATATTATAAATAAAATAAATTTTCATTTATAAAATATATAAAAAATACGGGGGATTACAAATGATTTTATTTAACTATCCGATGAATGAGATAATATTTATTTCAATTTATAAATTCAAGTTCTTTATACGTAAAATTTGAATTAGAATAATTTAAAACTGAACAAAATATTTTACCTTAAATTAATGTTAAAATAATAGAGTAGAAAATAAAAACAAAAAATATTAAGAAATTACAAAAAAATATACAAAATGAAATATTTAAAAATCGTGCATCGCAAGGGCTTACATATAGTATTAAATAAAAAAAACAACCAATCAGGAGATGTCACATGACACAATTAACCCTTATTGACTAAGAGAGTTGACCTCCGTTAGTCATATGAGTATTTAGGGGCATTTTTGTTAAACTTGGATGTATATGGTGTATTTAAAGGCCTTGTTTGGTAGTAAGCTTATTGGGGGTATATTAGCTTATTTGACTAACTTTAGCTGATTGACTAGTCAAACAAGCTAATATAAGTGTTTGGTATAAAGCTTATTGAAATAGCTTATTCCACTAAATAAGCTCTTTTTGAAAAAGCTCAATTTAGGAGCTTTTTCAATTAGCTTATTCATTAATTATTGTGAAATGACACTTATAACCTCATTTAATTTAAAATCCTATCTAAACTACCTACCCCACAATTAGCTTATTGGTCATTTCACATACTCAATCACCTTTAAGCTATCAGTTATTTACCAAACACTTTTATATAACCAGTTAATACAATAAGTTAGTCAAATCAGTTAATAAAATCAGCTAGTCAAAATCAGCTAACTCAATCAGCTTAACTTTCAGCTTTTAGCTTTCTGCCTTTCTCCCAAACAAGGCCAAAATATTTCATGGGTATATCGTGAATAACCAAAATACTCCGGGATATTTGGTAAAATTCCAACCTATTCCAACTTCACCTCATTCCTAATTTCAAACCCCATCACACCCTGCGAACCAAACGCCATTAGACGGATCTAACCCATTAGGGCTCCTCCAAGGCGTCCAACCCATTGAATTGCTCTCTCTCAGATCTCCACTGAAGCGCACTCAACGTTTTTCCATTGAAGCGCAGTTGACGTTCTCCATTGAATATAGTTCTTGTATCCGCCATTGAAGCAGCTTCAATTCTGGTAAGTTGTTTGTATTTGTTATCATCATTTCAATTTCACAATCTAATGTTTCGAAAATCTGAACTATTGGTTCTAAATTCTAAGATTATGAAACCATCACCTAAAGAAAAGAAAATTATGAGCCTAATTTGATTATTGAATCAAATATCCCTAAAATTATGAGATGATTGAATCAAATTTGGTTGCTAATGTATTGCACAACCTTTTGATGTTAGGATTCAACTATGAAATTAGAGCTCTTTGTGTGTATTAGTTATGGCAATTTGGGCATGTTAGGAAGAAGCTTATGCCTTTTGCGAATTACTGTAGTATGGGTTTATAATTGTAGTTCAAGTGTTACCTGATTTGCTATGCCCTTAGCTTGTGTATTTGATAGAAGGTGGGAGTTATTCCAACTGATATAAAAAGTTGCTTTGCAAAGCATGTTTTTTTGATCATATTTCATATCCATAACTCTGAGGTTTTTAAGGCATTTTGACAAAATTATCGACGAAGGGGTGTATAACATGATTTTTTTTCTTTTCTCATTCCACCCACTGTTGTCTCAGTGTTTTTATCTTTGAATCCGATTTTTGTTCATTAGTATATTTATTTTATTATTTAGTGCAACTATGTGTGAAGGGCTTTCGTAGATTTATTTTTTGTGCTAATATTATGTATTGCATTTTTTTTTTCCAGATCGTTGAAGGACATTGTTGTTGAACTAACTGCATTATGAGTAATGAAGGCAATGTCTCTACTAGTGGCAAGAAGAAACATAAGAAACGGAAGAATAGTGAGATTAGTGATTTAGGAGCAGAGGAGGCTAATGTAGAATTAACTGATGAAAGCCGTCCCAACATGAAGCTGAAACAGAAGGTTTTGAGTGATTCAGGTGTAGACGTAGACTTTGGTGCAGATATGGATAAAAGTCTTAGGAAGAAGAAAAAGAAGGGTGTGAATGGGATAGATGTAGACACGCTATGGGATAATAATAAAAGTAAGGGAAAAATGAAGAAGGGTAAATCTGGAGACAGGAGAGGGGTTTCTAAGGTTTTAGAATCATCAGGTGAGATTGTTAATGAGGAGACTTCAGAAGTTAGTAGATCAAAAAGGAGTAGGAAGAAGAAAAATGATAGAGATGATGTGGATCATAAAGAGAATAGTGACATTGAGCTGGTGAAGGAAGGTGCGATACACTCTAAAGAAGAAGGGCATGCTAAGAAGAAGAAGAAGAAGAATAAAACAGAATTCAAAGTGAAAAAGAAGTCTAGTGATAATGTTGGTGATGCTAGTTTTGTAGAAAAACAGACTCATCACGAGATTATTACCAACAAGAAGCAGAAAAATGTGAAGGACAATTTGGGAGATGTATATTTGAGTGAAGAGCATTTGGGAAATAGCCATGTGAATGCACACAAGAGTGTTGAGGACAGTCAACTTGGAGGCAATAGTATCAATGAGCAGGTGATTAGGAAAAAGAAGAAGAAATCAGAAAAATGCAAAGATGCTGATTCTGCTGGTGCTTCAGAGATAATGGATACGGAAGGAAGTATTGGTCATACCAATTTGAATGTAAATCAGTTTGACAATGAGGTTATTGAAAACATCCAACCTGTAAAAGACAAAAAAAGAAAAAAGAAAAAGAAGGATACTTCAGGAGCAGTTAATTTGGATGAAGAACTTGAGAAGAGTACCCATTGTGCGCCAATCAGCGGAAGTCAGAAAAGAAAGGATAGAGGCAGTAAAAAGAGGAAGGAGAAATCTCGTGGGTGTTATACTAAGGTAGATGCAACTGATTGTATGCCTGAGATGAATAAAGCTGCTGAGCCTTCTGAATTTTCCAACAATCATAAGAAATCAAAAAAAGTCAAATTTTCTGAAACTGTGGAAGTTTTCCCTCTTGCTGATGAATCGATCAAGAAGAAAAAGAAAGTGGTTTTAGATAGAAATGAGGAGAACAACAGTGTTGAAAATGGGCTGGTACAAGGTAAACGATTCTCCAAAGAGGAGGATGAGATGGTCCGAAAAGCTGTATATAAATACATAGAGGATCACCAGCTGGGTGACGAAGGTGTTGAAATGGTCATGAACTGTAGATTGCACCGAGAACTAAAAGGCTGTTGGAAAGAAATTGGAGAATCTTTGCCTTGGAGACCTTATATAGCTGTCTATAGCAGGGCTCATATACTTTTTGAACGAAGTGAGGATCGCAAGTGGACCCCAGAAGAGGTGGAACTAGTCAAGAAATTCTATGAAAAGCACGGACCAGATTGGAAAACATTGGGTGACGAACTCGGTAAACATCGGTTTCATGTTAAAGATGTATGGAGGAGGATCAGGTATCCCAATTTAAAAAAGGGGGCCTGGTCCCAAGAAGAGTACCAGAACTTATTTAATCTTGTCAACATGGATTTGAGCATGAAAGTATTTACAGAAAAGAGATCAAAGCATGGTATGCTACGAGATAACATAGCTTGGGAGGCAGTTAGTGATCAGCTCACAACTCGAAGCAATTCCTTATGTTGCATGAAATGGTATGACTCGTTAACATCTCCCATGGTAGCTGAAGGGAAGTGGGCTAATTCTGATGACTATAGAATGTTGATTGCACTCGTAGACCGTGATGATGCTTGTGAAGATGATGTGGATTGGGACAACCTTCTGGAACATAGATCTGGTGATATTTGCCGTAAGCGTTGGAATCAAATGGTACGCCATATTGGTGAGCATGGTAGGAAATCATTTATTGAGCAAGTTGAAATTCTTTCCCAGAGATACTGCCCAAATATTTTAGAAGCAAGAGAATCTTATGACAACAGACCTGCTGTTGATGCTTAATGCTGTTTTTGTGTTGTAACTGGTTATAAATTGTAGAGACGATTTGATTTTCTACTTTATCTACTTGTATTTTAGAGATTATACTCTTACATGATAGTAATTTATCTTTGCGGCCCTTTTTTTTGGGTGAATCTCAGTGGAATTTTGTGAAGTTAGGAAAATGTTGCTGTAATTTACCGACCACATAATTTCCGTCTATAGGCTCTATAGTTTCTGAATTGAATGTTTTGCCCTGCTTTGAAGCAGATTCTTATGTTTACTTGGTGTCCTCTTCTATTGTTATTGTATGTATTTGTTATATCTTATGAGTATGATTTTTCTGTTTGTGTGTAGTGAAATAGTGATTGTGCAAGTTATTGAATGCTCCTAACATATCATGATTTTAGTAAATTCACTGTAAGAAGGGAACAACTAGCATGTGACTGAAATCAGAAAAGAAAGATGGAGCAAGAAAGGAAGAGTATGGTTTCTTATGATGTCATTTGCAGTTCATTATTCACATCTATTGTTCCTTGATGCTGAAAGCCTATATGATTTTGACAAAAATGTCAGAATTCGGCACCTTTATTCATTTAAGAATTTCCTTAAAAATAAAGTTAGGAAAATGTTGCTGTAATTTCTGTCTTATAGTTTTTAATCTGTCAACTTAGTGACAAGTTTGTTTTAAAAGAGCCATTTGTTTATAGATGTGATTTCTTCCTATTTTGTCTATGTGGGATTGGGTAGTGCTTTTGTTCATTTAGCTGTAGCCAAATATGGAGTAGTTTATCCATTGTCCTGTTTTTAATTCAACACACTCAAATAGCTTGCAAACAAATCTTGTAAGAAACTACCAAATAGAATAATTTATTAACCAAAACAGGAAAAGACAGGAGTTAGTGACTTGGGGAAAAAAATGCCCTACTTTGAATTACAGTTGATTGGGGGTGTAAACACAAATTTTGAGTCTGCGAAATAGTCAAAAATAAATGCAACAAATATAACTTTTATTAATATAACAAATTTGAGTACAATCTCTAATGTAATCCACTAATTTGATTTCCACGCTACGTCGTTAAATGGCTCGATTTGTTGTAGTTGAAACTGGAATTCCTTGATAGAGGGCCGAAAAGGCTTGATCTCAATCAAGGTTGGTCTTCTAGAATGGAACGGCACGTCTGGTGCTTGTTGTTCTTCTTCTAGCTCTTGAGATTGGTTTTTTTTCGAGAAGTTTAGAGAGGGTTTTTTTTAGTAGAGAGGTTTTTCTCTGGATTTTTCATGTGTGTGAAAATGAGGGAGGAGAGTTCTAATTTTTCATGTGTGTGAAATGAGGGAGCAGAGTTCTATTTATAGAGTTCTCCCAAGCTAGGGTTTCAAGATGACCACTAAATGGGCCTTATGTCCATTTCCACCTCATTTCATAAATGACCCATTTATATTAAATCAAATCCATTTTGTTGGACTTTATCATTAATTAAATGAGTTTAACTAAAATAAATAATACGGGCTAAAATAACCCATATTAATTATGTAGTCAATATATTCAAGTCAACAATTTGACTTTGACCCGAACAATGTGTAACGACACTTGATAAAATTTCTGTGCCTACAAATTGCCCCCTCGAGATCGGTCACGGAGACGATTTTAAAGTGTTTGATCGTGATCGGGCTCGAAATTTGGTTGACTCGATAATAACTATTGAGTAACCGGTTTTTTTTTTTTTTTTTTTTTTTTTTTTTTTTTTTTTTTTATTTATTTATCTTGAATTTTTATCTTTTCTCATAGATAAGTAATACAAGATCCCACTTGATTTTAACCAGTTCACCGTTAGCACAATTTAGAGCAGCATATCTTAGTGGATATACTTGTATTTTCACAAATACTACTCTATCTTTTTTCTTGGAAAAACAAGTCAACTTGCTACTTGCTTCATCTTCTTATTGAGATCACTTATAATTATCTTGATGTGCTTGACTATCAATCCCCATTAACATCAAGATACGAACACGGATGACGAAATACGGCACTTATCTTATAATCGAGCTATATCTTATGGACTCCCAAATTTTATCATTTTGAATGAACCAAGATTTTGGAATCCTACTCAATAAAAGATAAAACCTCATCTCCAATTTCAATTTGATTAAAGATAAAACTAGTCAGTTAAACTTGTAATTATCTTCTTGAAGATTAAACCAATTTGTAGCTCTATAAATACAACCTCCTGCAGACCTGTTATACACATCAAACGATCATTGCTGTTGTTTAATTAGCATCGTTCGTCCCAGAAGCCTCGAGATATCGGCCACACACGCCTCGTACAACAACATTGCAGGAGCTTTGAGACCCATTCGACCCCAAACTAGTTCGACTTCGACGAAGATCAGAGGTGATAGGACACTGCCGGACCCGGTCTACAGAGCATCGACGCCTGATTCTTTGACACACCACGCCGGAGTTCACCATCAGAGTATTTACCGCCTCACGCCGAAGCTACATTCAAGTCCAGCCGTCACCAGAGTCTCGACCACCGCACATCGGAGTAGCACATAAGCCTCGCCGCAACCGGAATTTCGACCACCACACATCGGAGCTACGTTCAGCCTTACGCCATCTTGATCGGACAAGAGTATAGGGAATTGAACTTGATACTGGGTATGCTTCGAAACTTACTTGAATTGCTTTAATGGCTTTTCTTGTACTTTGTGCTTCAATGGTCTTTTGAGAAAGAAAGTTTGATGAACACTTGAACAGAGCACTTCTTTATTTTAAGTCAGACACCACTTTTTTTTTTTTTAATATATATATATATTATTATTATTATCGTTCTTTTAATAAATAACATCATGATGATCATGACATTATCAACTAAAATCAAAGACTTTCTATACGTGATTTTTTTTTTTTAATTTTTTTTTAATTTTTTTTTAAATATATATATGATGATAATTTGATACCACCATGATTTCTCACATAAAGTCACACTTTCGCAGATTGTCATGGCGCAATTCAAGTTTGGAGGAGCTCTCGAGGATGACTTCTTACGTGTGTCTAACGGAGCTGCGGTTCCAGATGGGATTCATTTTCCCACCTTTCGCCCTATGACTAGAGCTTTTGCAGAGAATTGGAAAGTGGAACATCCCTCAACAAGCCTAAAACACTGGTGGAAAGAGGTCTTCGAAGGGTCGAATAAGACGCCCAAGGAGGTACTCCAGTCATCGCACCATCGGCCATCTACAGAAATTAAGGTATTGGACACACTCTCCGCACGCATATCTAGTAGGGAAGTCGTCAAATGGGGTTCGAAGTTACTCATTGGAGTTGAATTCTCACACATACCTCAATACTGGGAATGGTTGGAGGACATATTGCAACACTTCAGACACATGCTTACAAGCACCAATATCCTTGACGCAGTTTATGCCTCTATGTTCTGTTACGAACGCAACACTCCATACATGCAAGCTTTTTGTGAGATGTGGAGCTCAACGACCAACACACTACTTACTTCAGCGGGCGAAGTCTCGATCAGTTTATGGGACTTGCACCATCTCAGCGGACTCCCAATAAATGGTTCTTTCTACGACGAGGTCGTCCCATTCGCCACGGAGTTAGAAGGGTATGACCAAAACGGCTCTTTGTATCTTCCTTATAGTTGCAAGTAACTTTTCGCGGCTTATCAACACATTGCTGCAAAGTCACGCGAAACTCACGTCAAATTTGATAGTTGGTGTAAATTTTGGTTTCATGGTGCTTCGAGATATTCGACCTCTTCTGACGACAGAAGGGCTCACATACTTCCCGTGCCTATGACCAGTTTTGCTACCGTGAATGAGACTTTCCTATGGAACGATGAAGTACATGAAGCTTTTACCATCTTAGGCATCCCCGAGGCACACCGCAAACAGACCTATCTTACCGCCTTTCTTTCTTGCTGGTTGTGCGCTTTCGTCCTCCCTCTGAAAGACTTAGGCTTCATTCGTCCAGGAGTATTCAAACCTGCATCTTCACTTGCAAGTGGTCGCAAAATATCTTTGGCTATTCCTGTTTTGACCAGCATTTATAGAGGCTTGAACGAGCTATCGACTTCCGCAGCGCCCGGGAGACGTCCAGGATTCTTCCCAGCACACTATGTCTATATATGGATAGCAAAGTATTTTCGAAGTCATCGAATGTCTACTCACAAGTACGCTGGTGCCCATATGATTAGATTTCAAGGCCCTGATGCAGTCATTTACTCGTCATCTGCCGATGCTAAATCGACTATACGTTCTGGTAGATCGATCAACTGGCTTGCAACTTGCCCAAATGAACCTGAAGATAAAAGATTTGTAGATGACAATCAACGTCTTCGCCGCATCTCTGATTTAATCGCCATGAGATCTTGCTATGTGACTCTAAGATACGACGATAGTTACGTGATTGAGTCGTACAACCCTCATAGGTTTGGTCGCCAATTTGGTTTTTACCAGGGGTTGCCTGGTGAACTTGAGCCACAGGTAGATGCCATTACCCCGGAGCGTGTATTCCAATTATTCCAGGCAAGCACCCAATTAGGCACGAAGTCTGAGTTCTTCATCCCGAGTCGTCCGTTTAGTCCTCAATCTCGAGTTACTTCTGCTTATGCGACCTGGTGGGCATCGGTCTTCCCGCGAACCTCGTCAACTTCTAGTTCACCAAGTCCTCTAGATGCTCCTGTAACTCGTAGTCAAGGAAAGTCTAAGAAGAGGAAGGATGATAGCGACCATTTGGGAGGTAAAGTTGTAAAATCAGTCGTCGATTCAAGCAACAAGCGCACATTGAAGGTTAAGCTCAACAAGTCTTGTGAAAAGTCTCCATCCTCAAGGGAGAAAGAGAATGACAAAAGGAACTCCCCCAACAAATTTATTCTTCCAGGCGAGGCTTCTGTCCTTTATGACGTCCTTGGCGATTGCTACGATGAGATCGCGAATGACAAGGGACGGGTATATATATATATATATATATATATATATATATATATATATATATATATATATATATATATATATATATATAATATATATATATATATATATATATATATATATATATATATATATATATATATATATATATATATATATATATATATATATATATTTAGGTTAATCATGAGCCCATGAACCTCTCAGACGAGTTGGAAGCTTGTAACGACACTTTCGATCCTCCACTAAACCAAGATTTAATCGATGCGTCTCATGATCCAGTCATCGTTAGTGTTGTAGAAAGCATGGCGATTGATGGATACGGTCCCTCCTCTTTCGCTCCTAGTTCGGCAAAG